TGGATTTAAGTCATAGCTATTGTCTCCCTGACTTCAAATCATAGTTAACTTATTCGACGGAAAGAGTAACGTTAACAGCATAAAAAAATTCATTTTAAGCATATTGTTGAACTTCAAATAAGATTTTTTGTTTCAATTTTATTATAACAATCTAAGCAAATTACATTGTTGTCTTGTACATAGATTGGCAAAGTTTTGTTAACTGCTTACTCTTTAACAAGAACATATTCGGTCACCCTTTTTTAATTAGTTGATTTTTACCAACATATAATAATTATACATGATCCAATAATAGGTATATTTGCTTCTTAAATAAGTACCTCTAGATTTCAGATTCTTTTGAGATTCTTTTGCACAGTGAATTTTTAAATGGAACTAGAAATAAAATTTTTTTTTTATTATATAGATTATCAAATTTTAAAAAATACTTTAAACTGTATAAATTCAATTGAAACGATCGGCCAATCAAGTGATAAACATCCTATGAGTTTTTGCCCCGATTAAGAAAATCGAAATAACAAAAACACGTGAAAACTAAACAAGTTTAATTCGTTTTATCTAGTAAACTAATTTTCTATTTTCTATTTGTAATGTATTATTATTAGCACTTTTTATTCAATAAAAATATAATAGTAAATATGTAAGAATCTAAGTTTGTTAGATAATTAAAACTAAGAAATGTAAATTCATTTCATTTTTTCCACCTATAACTATCCTTAAATAGTTCTTAGTGTTTTTTCTTACCCTTTTTTGTGGTCACAATTTTAAAAGCACCCGCACTATTCACCGAATGTTCATCCTTTGTATTACTATTATTAGTTCCTATTTCTTTGCTTGATTTTCCTTCTGTATGTGTATTCAATAAACTACTTAATGGCAAACCACTAGCGTCTGCCTTACGCCTCTTGACAAATTCATCAGCAAATCTTCGACCATCTAGAGTTGACGAATTAGCGTAAATCGAATCTTGTATGATCTCAATAGTGGCGGGAGGAGGGTCAAGTGGGAATGTAAGCAACATCTGAATAAATTCCTCAACTATTTAAGAAAAATATCGAATGTTTTAATACATTAATTTTATTTATAATATCAATGGATAAAAAAAAAAATTGATCAGAAATTACCGTTCACATCATTCAACCCACGTAAAGTTTGACGACACCATTTTAAAAATTCTTCCGAAGGAGAACGAGGTGCAAAATGTTCATTGGAATTGTTAGCATTAATAACACCGCCGTTGCCTGAATTCTTTGACAAACTCAAGTTGACAGTAGTTGCTTTATTACTATTTTTTAAGTTTTCTGATGGCTTGTTTAATTGACTTTGTGATCTAATTTAAGAACAATGATATTTAATTAATACCGGGAGAAGTCTTTATTAAACACAAATATAATTTTATGTAATTATACCTTAAACCATTTATACCCTTATGCGAATCCATATCCCAAGCTACGGCAGAATCTTTTCCGTTGGGTTTTATCACATTTATAGTAGCATTATTAGGTTGAGGAGATACTGCTGTAATTGCACGATTGCTTGACTTGCTAGCAACAGTTGTCCAGGCAGTGTTCATAGAAATGGATCCGGGTTTCTATAAGGTTAATAAAAAGTTATGTCAAAAAAATTTTATTATAATTCATATTTCTTATACAAAGTTTGATGCTTACCTTTGCTGTGGCTACTGTATCTGCATAGCGTTTTCCCATACTATTTGTGGCAGCTGATCCAGCTCCAGAATTAGATCCAAGTAAAGCTTGTTGCTGCATTTCACGTATCCTGTTACGTCTTTTCATTGCTTCTTCCTCTTCTTTCTGAATTTCTCTAAGGGTTTTTTTAGGAGCAGAATTGTTTGACTGCCATGCTAGTGTAGTAACAACAGGAGAAGTAGAAAGAGAAGACGAACTAGATGTATTAGATGAATTTTGACCAATGATTCCCCAAGTAGAATTTGAGGGTGTTATTTCTTCCTTTGAATTCATAACGGTGGAATGAGTAGTAACCGCAGCAGCTTTACGTTCAGCGGCTTTGCGAGCTTCCATTTCTTGAATTTCGCGTAGTGAAGGAGTTTTGTGAGTACTGTGATCATCATCTTTCGCCCATGGAGCCGATGAAGGAGTGACAGGACTATTATTTCCCCATGACAATCCATTCTTTAGTGGTTGAGGTGTCTTGACAATATTTTGATTGGAAGTTTGTTGAGCCAATTTTTCTTTTTCTTGTTTTTTTTTGCGTTGCTCCTCTTCAGCCTGAATCTCTCGCAGTGAGGGTTTTAAACGATACGATTCTTCCTTCTGAATAAAATGCGGATGCATTTCATTGGTAATGTTCTTTGACGGTAGTTCAACTCTTTGTTCGCTCATTACCTTTTCATCCACCTTTTTTGAAGGGATCTCATCTCCGAGGATAGGTTTTGTAATAGATTCAACCACATCATTAATTTTACGATCAAAGGACGGATCTTGACTATTTCCATCCATGATGTCATATTGTCTCTCGCTATGTCGACTAGAAATCTGATCATTATGTGACGATTTTTGTAATCCAATATTGTTTTCTTTTCTCACACTGAAATATCCGATCTCATCTGACTGTGGAACACGCGAAGAAGTAGATACGACACCAGGTACTCCCCATGGTGATAAGGGAGTTGGTTGTTCAGCAGAAGTTGTCGGCCAACCTACAGATCTCGTTAAAGCGTCAACAAACGGAGGATTTGGCGCATTTGTAATAGGAGCAGATACAGGCCCAGATATTCCTATATAACTTTGTTGTTGCTGCCTAATAAAAGTGTCTGGATAAGCATGTTGATTTTGTTGTAATTGTCTCTGTTGGAGCATCATATATTGTTGACGCTCAATCTGGGAGGATAGTGCTCGTTGATGATCCAGATAATTTTGAGGTGGTGAAACATTGAAGGAAGCAGCATTATTGTTAAATAGAGGTGGTGAATTAGGAGCTTGCACACGAGGAGACAAAGTTTCGTTGTTAGGTGTGAACCCTTCTGCTTGTCCCCATGCATTATTTGATGAGTTCAGATCTCCCCATCCGCCCCCATTAGAAACGTCATTTCGCCCAAAGACGCTACCAAACTGATATCGATCAAATGGTGTATTTGGCACCGAAGTCGTTCCACCAAAAGGATTAAATCGCTGTTGATTATTATCCAAAAACAACTGTGCCGTACTGGGAGAATTAGGAGCAACCCAAGATCTTTGGAATGGATCATTAACCAAACGTGATGAATTATTAGGCATAGAAATAGTTAAAGGCGGCCTTGAACCAGGTATTGGCGCAGAAAAAGGCCTTTCATCATCACCTGTCTTTCGTATCAAGGCACCTAAAGGTTCAAACGCAGTATCTTCAACCCTTTTAACCAAAAGACTATGAACAAAAAATCCACCCTTATACCATTCATTCATTTCTTGACTACTAAATGGCCCTAAATGATTTTATTAAAATGATCATTACTATGTAAACCTTCAAATAACAGCTAAAAATTATTTAAAAAATTGTAAACCAACCTTGAATATTACCACTTGGATCACGGTACAACCATTTATATTGCTCGGGCGTTACTTTTCTTGGTTCAGCATTTATTCCTGTACCAGAAAAAAGACTTGCGACCCCAGAATTGCTATCACCAAAAACATTACCAGTTCCAATATTTGAATGTGCGGAAGTAAATTTACTAGTTTTAACTGTTGGGGATAATGGTGGTGTATTACCTCCTAAATTTGAATAAGCGAACGCTTCCTTCAACACATCATCATCTTGGTCAAGGTCAAAACGATGAGGCAACAATAGTGATTGGTGGTGATGTAGCAATTGCTGTTGACGATGTTGATGTTGATGCTGTTGTTGTTGTTGTTGCAGTAATTCTTGTTGATCTTGTAATTTTTTTTTTTGTTGCTGCTGCAATAATAACTGTTGCTGTTGCTGCTGTTGCTGATGTTGTTGCAATTGTAACTGTAACTGTAATTGTAACTGCTTCTGTTCATTTTCTTGTCTTTGTTGTATTTGTAACTGTCGTTGTTGCTTTTCTTGTTTATATGGTTCCTTATCCTTATCTTGATGAAGCTGCAATTGTTGCAATATTAAATTTTGTTGTTCCAACGTTAATTGTTCTTTTTCTCTCTCTAATTCAAGTTCATGATCATGTTCAAGTTCTCGTTCAATGTCTTTTTCGTCGTCTTTAGATTCGCAATAATCTTGTTGTCGTGACAACTGATGATCTTCTTCATGCCTTTGTTGCGAACGTTGAAACGAATCTTGTTCCTCTTGGTAAAATTCTGTTTGATTCTGATGTAATGATGATCCTTTAGTTTCTTGATTCGGGAGACTTTGCGAACCTTGCCAATCTTGTAAAACTTCATCTTCATGAACTTGATATTCTTGTTGTGTTTCCTGCTTAAGACCAATTTGCATCAAAGTGTTTTCTTGCAAATCTTCCGTAAACTCATGTCTTGTGGGATCTTCAATGTCATTCATAGATTTATTGTTCATTTCTTTTCGTTCTGATTTGGACGTCACAATTTCATTTTGGGACGAATTATTGTAGGCATTTGTATCTGATCGGTCGGACGGATTTTTCTTTTCAAGCTGCATTGGGAATACATAATGTCATACCAGCTTGATTTCTTAAAATTAGATTTTCAATCATTCGCTCACTAACCTCTTGCTCGATTTTCTTGCCACGTTCGGTATCCTCTTTCTTAACTTTATCTAAAGTTTCATCATCTACGTTGTTTCCAGGGATTCTGAAAACCCCATTATCAAAAGTTCCTACAGCATGTCGTGTAACACCATTCCAACCTGGATCATCTACTGATGTTGAATTGAGAGATCTAGGTGGACGACTGCTGCGAGGACTTGTTCGCCCACTCAGTACTCCACCTATAATACCACCGAAACGTTCGCTTCTGGGTGAAGTTAGTCCACTACTAATATGTTTCTCGCCACGAGGAGAAAATGGTACTCTTTCTCTCTCTATACGTTCACTTCCGGTAACCGTTCCAACCGACGCATTGGAAACAATACGTCGGGTAAGTTCACTATTAACGGACACGCCTGATAAAAGCTGAGTTTTTTTTTTTTTGTGAATATTAATAAAGATAAAATAATAATAATAAAAAATTAATAATAATAATAAAATTAATAATATAATAATTTATTTAAAATATTTAATGAAATAAAAAATTTTCAAGTTTGCTCAATGAACATTTTGTACATTGATTAATTAATTAATCCATGGTATTATAAAACCAATCGAAACGAAATTTGATTGTAAGTTTTCTAAAAAAAAATAAAAAAAAAAAATTGTTTCTTGTATATAATATAAAATATCCAAAGTGTTTTATACCTTTTGTTCCTGTTCTGTTAGCACTATCATGGCCATTGGTTGTATTGCTTCCTCACTTGTAACATATTCATGTCTTTCAAATTCCAAAGGCAATCCTACTGGCTTATATAATTTGAGCATAAATTCCTTTGAATATTTGAAAGGGTTTAATGCAGATTCACCCGCACCGGGTACTTCAGATTTCTCGGACATTTCGTTAAGAATTGAACGATTTGACGTAGTATTGTTGCTATTAGCAGCGGCCACCGAAGACCAAGAAAATGTACTTGTTCCATTACTATTTGTATTATTTGTAAGATTTGTATTGATATTTGCACTTGCAGAAATGGTTGACGAATTGTTCGTTACATTAGATGAAGACAAAGAAGTAGGAGAAGTGGAACGATTGCTGTCGCTCGTCGGAGTCTTTGGGAAACGTCTCATCCTTTTAGAATTAAAATTATTAAAAATTAAAAAGCTTACTGAAATTTCAAACCTTTTATTTAATTCTAAGGGAGAAAATTCAATACATTATTTTATTTATTCAACTTACCATTCTGGTCCGAAGTTCATGGTATTGCTTGTAGCCATTTTTATTTGGAAAGTTTTTAAAAAACGAGGTTTAACGGAAGAATTTTTTTCGATTCACTTTTTTAGAAATCAAGTACTGTTGTTATTAACAGCGTTTAAAAATAAATTTGCGAAAAAGTAAAGCGAAAAAAAAAAAAAAAAAAAAATCTGCGTTTAAATATCATTGGAGGATTTATACAATCACGTTACTACATTAAATCAAAAATTTCAATATATTATTTTTATTTTATCAAGTGATATCACAAAATTATTATTCTAATATACATACAGAGCGACAAAATAAATTTAAATACAAGGCATTACTACTAATAAGTGAATAATAATTATTTTTACTTCACTTCTAGCGAAATGTTTCATTTTAATAATCTATAATATTAACGCATGTCATAATTACTTATCCTTCTTGTCCGAAATCTTCTGTGAATTTCACATGTTGACTAATATCATCTGCATTAACTGTAGGCCTGGCAATTTTTATGGCTTTTTCGAAATCCTTCAGAGTTAATTCAGGTTCTAATAATTCATCAGACTTCACATCCATCCATGTCATTTCTTTAGCGTCAACGTCCCCAGGTGAACAAGGAGTTAAATATGTTTTAATGACTTTAGGATCATCAAAAGAAGGTGCTTCTTTCTTTAAAATCCAACATTTATCAATGAAGTCATTAGCGTATAATTGCATGATACAAAATTCGAAATTTAATAGTGTAACATACCGATTTGAAATGTGTTGCAGTTTGAACTTTCCGAATAGATTGCATTAAGGCATCACGCACTACAACGGCAATGTCAGAACCCGAATATCTATAATTACAAAATTGAGCATTGAAAAAAAAAAAAAGTGAAATCAAAATACTGAAAACGTGAAAGTCATACCCTTCCGTCAATTCGGCCAAATGTTTATAGTCATTCATCGTCAAAGTACAAGGTGTGTTACCAACATTTAATTCAAACATTTTAGCCCTTGCAGATGATTCTGGAAGTGGTATGTAAATTCTTTTTTCAAATCGTCGCCTAATGGCACTGTCCAACTGCCAAGGAGTATTTGTTGCACCCAACACAAGGACTCCAGTTGGGTCATTTCCTACACCGTTCATCTGAACGAGGAACTCTGTTTTAATTCTTCTACTTGCTTCACTTTCCCCTTCACCACGTTGTCCACAAAGCGAATCGACTTCATCGATAAAAATAATAGCTGGTTTACTCTCACGAGCCATTGTAAAAAGGCTCTTAACAAGGCTAAAATTCTATCAATAATTAGTGCCTTATTTCAAAACAAATGCTCAAAACTTATTTCAAATATAAATTATAAAGTTTGAAAATAGATAAATCTATAATAATTACCGTTCACTTTCACCCATATATTTGCTCACCAAATCGGAAGATGAAACTGAAAAAAAAGTAGAATTTGCTTCAGTAGCAACTGCTTTTGCAAGATAGGACTTTCCGGTGCCGGGAGGGCCATATAATAAAATGCCCGACCATGGTTTCCGTTTGCCTTATAACATGAAGTTAACAAACAACATATTTATTCGGTGAAATCATAAACCATGTGATAATAGTAAATATCTACCAGTAAATAATTGAGGAAACTTGATAGGTAAAATAACAGCTTCCTTTAATGCTTCTTTAGCTATTTCCAATCCAGCAACATCATCCCAACGAATATCAGGCTTTTCGGTCAAGATAGCACCTATGAGTTAAAGTAAATTATATAATTTCGGAACTATCGAGTAATTTATTTAAAAGTTTTATATAATGTAATTACTTGTCAATGCTCCTCGTAACTTTTTGTTTTCATCATCATCATCTTCGCTGGTACCATTTTTCTTTCTGTAAATAAATTAATATTAAGATGTAATACACGAGAAAATTTTTATTTTGAAAATTAAAATCATGCAGACCTCCCCTTTCCACCGTCATCCCCATTTGCTTTAATAGCCTTTTTAGAGCTTTCTTTAGATTTTTCTTCTTTACTGTTTAAATATTCCTTTAATTTTTCAGCTCGATTGAGGTATTCGATAATCTTCTTACGTATAGAATCTTTTCTTTGTTCATTTTTCTCATCTATTTATATATTATAATTATATAGATTTTATAAGCGAGAAAATTTGATGTGGAATTAACACCTATAAAGCTTATTTATATATATGAAAGAGATTAAGAAATTTAAATAGACCAACTTTAAATGAACAATACATACATTTTAACGCCTTCATGAAATAGTCTAAAGCATTATTATAATTTTTATAGGCTTGTTCGTATTCTCCTTTACTGTCTTCATCGGTAGCTTTTTTAATTATTTCTACGGCTTTCTAAAGTTATCGTTGTGAAGAGAATATTCGATTTATTGAAAAATTTATAATTCAAACTATAAGACGGAATAAAAATAATATTTTATTATTTACATCAATAAAGTTACAATTGGCCATTATTTTGTGAGTTGATAAAAAACAAAACTATGCTCGTGTAAGTAAAATCACTTCGGAAGAAACAAAAAATATTAAAATTAAATCGAATTAAAAAATTCTTTTACCATAAATATAAACACGTGACAGCACATAGAAATAAATAACTCGAATCATCGGGGTACATGAATTCTTCAAAAATGTCATTCCGCAGCTTTGATATTGATTCTTTAGACGAAGACATATTAGCTCAAGATGAACTTTTCGTTTTCTCTAATGGAGTTGAAATTACCCCGGAAAACGCCTCAAATAATGTCAAAACAAAAGGAATTGAGGTTAGGAACCAACTAACAAGGTAAACTTTTAGGAAACGGTTTATATTAAAGGAGAAAATTTCTTTATTTTAAAATATTAATAATTTCTGCCTTCCCTTCAGGGGTGACACAGCTAATGCATTGATAACGGCAATAGAAAGTCCTCCGTACGGAGTTCACACAATAGATGCTAAAGTATGCTTTGCTCAATCAATCATATTCAATAAACCTTTAAAAAAAGTTTTCATCTATATTTATAATCAATTGATTTAATTAGGATCAAAATACCAAAATTGTAATGGATGTTCTAAATTCTATTAAAGCTACCGATATTCCATCGTTAGTGAAATTATTATCTAGGGAACAGCAAGATATCTTAATGAAATATATTTATCGAGGGATGTCGTCGCCCGATTTATACAATTCAACTGTATTATTGAATTGGCATGAGAAGGTTAGAATGCATTGATATTCCTTTGATTAAGATTTGCTTGTCAAAAAATGACAATTTAATTTTAAAATATCATGTTTATTTTTAGCTTACTGAAGTTGCTGGTGTAGGATGCATCGTTCGTGTAATTACAGATCGAAAGACCGTTTAAGTTGAAAATTGTATAAATATGAACAAGAACAAATTTTTTAAATTTGAATAAGAAATGTGATAATATTAATGATCATACATTTAAAAAATAAATATTAAACTATTATGTATTAATAATTTATAAATAAATTACATATAATCAAAGTGTTTCTGAATTAGTTGAATCAGTAAAATCACTGAAATCACTAAAATCATTTGGCGAGGGGGTCCTTTGACTATTTTGTTTTTTTCTAATGAAGGCAGCAGAAGGTGGAGGCGGTAAAAGAGGAACAGCTGTTATATTTCCGTCTATGTTTTTAGTATGTTTTGACTGATGTATATTTCGCGTATTATGCTATATTGAAACAATAATTCGTCCATATTAGAAAATTATTTTTTTTGCAGGATTTAGAAAAGGTAATTCTCAATAATGTTATTACATTGCCAATTTTTATGTTAATTGTTTGCCCTTCCTTCAAACTATAATCTTTCTTTGGTTCTTGTGAAGCATTCTTAGCGTCTGCCACCTCCTTTTCTATTTTAAGATGTCTAATGATACAGATGTAATGTCAATTCTTAAAAAAAAAAAAAAAAAAAAAAATTAAATAAAAAATAAATTACTTGATATGATCTTGTAAAGTTACTTGAAAATCAAACGCTTCAGAACGTTCTTGAAATCCCATGCCTATAAATGCATGTCGTCCATTATCTTCAACACGTAACACAAAATATCTACTTGAATCACGTACAGGTTCAACTGTATTGGTATCGGGATCATATATACACTGTGCGAATAATTCTCCTGATATAATTAGTAAATTTAGATAATATAAAATTTTCTGATAAATTATTTAATATTGAAAATAATCTACCTGTGGTCCCATCTTCTAATTTAATAATACATTTTTCCCCTATCGAAACAACTCTTAAACGACCTTTCCATAAAAAAGCTTCCATATCACCCCATTCTGACGCTCTAAAGTATATTGAAAATATGAGCTATATTTATGGATATTCTCGATGTTTATTAAGAACTTACTTATATTCTCGACTAGATGTTCTCGGTGGAATTTGATATACTAAAAATTCATAATATAGGTTCAGCGTATTTAAATAATATAAAAAAATTTTTAGGACTCTCATTAAACTTACCATAACATTCACGAATTACTAACAGTACACTTTCGTATTCGTCTGACATAGAAATAAAAAAAAATGAATACGTTATTTTACAAATATCAAATCGAAAGGTTTGTTTTGGTAATTTATTTGGGTTGAAATTAAAAGACGCGCTAGTATATTTATGGATAATGCTAAGCCACAGATCAACGATATATAACTTGAATTTTTTTAATCAATCATTTTATTTATAAATAACGAAATTTTGTCGCTGGACAAAATAATAGTTTTGAAACGCAATGAAAAATACGGTGCGTTTTAACACCTTTGAAGAAGGGGAAGAACGCAATGAAACTAACTCGATCTCGGGAAATCCTAATCGTCGTAATCATGGTAGATATAACTCGCATATTCGAGGTCAGATCTTTGTTTTGCTTGGGTTCGATGAGTTTCGAAAACAAGAATTAGAAAACGAAATTTTGCATCATGGTGGGAGGGTCTCACCTATGTTTAGTAGACAGGTAATTTTTAATCTAATCGTTATATTGTCTGTTGTTTTAAATTAATTTATTTGTTAGGTTTTTTTTTATTCACATATATTTATTAAATAATATACCCTTATTTCAAAACTTACAGACGAATTTTCTTGTAACAACTAGTACATATTATAATAGAAACTTTAGTGAAATTGATGAAATGGTCAAGATTAACAATATACCTGTCATTTCTGATGAATGGATTTATACAGCAATAGCAAGTAATGATGTATACGAGGATATCAGGTAAATATCAGTTGTCATATGATCTTTGATTATTAAATAACCATATTTTTGATTAAAATTTTTTTTTTTTAAAAAATAAAAATAAATATAAAAAATAGTGATTCAAATCGTGGCATACTACACATTAATACTTATGATGATGATTATGATGATGAAGAAGATGACCCTGATGATCATGGAAGAGAACATGAAAATGATATACGTCACAAACATAATGCAAATGACAGAAGGCGTCCTTTGCAAAATCAAAACAATGGAAAACAGAATAAAAATGATTTTGATTGGGACCAAGACTCTAATGATTCAGATGATTTAGATATTAATAGACCTATAATGAATGATTTTCCAAATATAGGAGAGAATGAGAATCCTGAAGAAATTGATTCAACTACGAATCCTACACCAGTATTATCTCATGATATGCAAAGTGAGAGAATGGAATGGCAGAGCTTTTTGTCATCCGTGCTTACCGGTGAAGTTATTAAGTCAGAAAAACGTCGTTTGTCCGGTTCAAATTCTAAAGCAGCAAATATAAGTTCTCAAATTTGGTTGGGAATCCGTGCTATAACGCGTGGTCATACTCCAGCGGAAGAAAAGTTGATTATTGAAGAGACACGACAATCAATTGATAGTGTACTTAAAGAAGTTATTGAATTCGAGGTAAAACCTGGTGATATACCTGCTCTTGATCAGGTAGCTGGGATACTTCAAAGAATTGATGCATGCGAGAATCTTTATTATTCACGTAAAGCAATGATGGCCGATAAACCTTTATATAAGTCTCAAGAATTTCAATATAGTTTGGATGCTCTCAATTCATGGCTAACGGTAACTCGTAGTTTACAAACACAACTAAAAATTCTACAAAATTGGACAGGGAGTGATACTTTGGAGATCACCCGACCAAAAGAAGTTCCAGCTGATGCAGAAAATCCTTCGTTTCTTGAACGAATATTAAAAGAAAATAGTTTGAAACAAACTTTTGAAAAACGAACTCTGGCCACGTTAAATTCTCTTTTATTAAAAGCAAAGTGTGTAATGATTGAGAATGCTGTTGCTTTTTCTAAAATGAAATTACCTCCTTATATCAATGAATTACGACAACTTCTTAATTTTCCAACGAAACTTATGGAAGAATGTATGAAATTATTACTTACTTATTCTAGCCGTTTATCCGAGCCCACCATTTTAATGGTTCAGCAGATGATGGAAAATTTACGGATTTCCCTTTCATTAGCTTGTCAAATTAAGCATCAATATCATGAGCTTATTAAACCTGCAAAAGGATGGGATATTCCTCCGTGCATTGATGAAAATTATAATACAGTTTTGTTAGACTCATTGAAATGTTACTTTAAGTTGTTGCAGTGGAAACTCAAAATTGGATATAAGGCCGTATCCTTTAAAGAAGCAGAAATCTTAGAAAATGAATGGTCATTTTTAAGTGGTATATGTCGTCATATTGTAGGAGGTGATTCTGAAACTGCTATACAATTTTGGTGAGTGTCATATTTTAGTGTTTAAAAAATTTTTAATGCGATAATATATATCTATATCTCTTTATAGATAGGAACTTTCTATCAAAAAATAAAAAAAAAAAAAAGTGGATCGGTTAATTAGTTAATAAAATGTTCACTTAATTCCACTTAATTATAACAATTTTTGTAGTTCTCTAACAAATAAATTGCTTTTGAGTGTCATGAATTATTATGACAAGGAGCTTGAATTACCTGAGAATTATGACCCTGCTAACATAACGAAATGGTATAATAAACTTTTGGAAACTGTACGTTTAAGAACGAGGAAATTGATCCGATTTACAAGGTTTAGTATTTTAAAATAAATAGATAAAGATTTATATTTATATTAATCAATATTTTATTATTTATATAGATTTCTATTTGGTGAACTAGAAAACGCTGCCGAATATTTTATTGATGATAACAATTATCAAGCTTTTATTGATGGATTAGAACGAACTGGTCACGTTCTTGTGTACCCTAGCACTTTTGAAGTCGATGGTGTATGCTTTATTGTTGAACCATCGCTTCAGGATCGACCTCAACAAATACACAAGTTACTTACTTCTGTTCTCACATCTTATGAAAAAGGGCAGGATAATTTTGATGATGAATTAAAAGGACTAGAATACGTACTTATTTTGTCACCCAGAGTAGAATTTGTGTGGAAAGGTCATAATCAGGCCGTAGATATGGAACAGCTTAGTATTGACCTCAAAACTCCTCGTACAAGGCTAGTTGCCGATGGTGCTTACCCAAGGTTACAAGCATGCAAACAACATTTTCGTAAAGCGGTTGAAGGTTGTGGTATTGAAGTTCTTTTTGAAACAAGAGCTAATGTGCCTTGTATTAATCGTGAGATGGCTAAAATTAAAAAAACCGTTTTCAAATTCGCTAATAAAATAATTGATAGCGTTTCGTTAATTAAGGAAAAAACAAAGGATAATGAATGTCAAGATTTAATCGAAAACTGTTTTAGTTTTGCTACTGAAATAGGTCAACGTTGTTTACGTTATATGCATCGAGATGCTTTGCGTGCTCAACTAAATGTTAAATTAACTCGGATGGCCATAGATTGGGTTAGTTTTATATGTGATCATTGTATTGCTACAGATCGCAAAACATTTAGATGGGCCGTTATTGCATTAGAATTTGCAATGGCAACAAATCGAGGAAACAACATTTTAGGTTTAACGGAAAGCGAATTTTCAATGTTACGTAGTAAAGTAGGAAATTGCATGAGGTTACTTATATCACATGTAGATATTATGGGAGCAAAATCATCCTCTGAAGCTTTAGAACGAGAGCGACAAGACATATCCGATCATTTGGTGCCATCACCACTTCGACACATTAACAATATTTATAGTGGTGAGGATCCTTTAATCATGAGAGATGAATGGATGGCCTCATTAAATGAATTGGAAGCTAAACGTTTCGCAAAAGAACAAGATCAACGTCTTGTAGGTAAAGTTCTTGATGATAATCAACCTGAAAATCGACCTTTAGTCTTTTTAGCATCTTCCAGTTCAAACATCTCCTTACGATGGCAACAGGGCAAATTTATCGGAGGGGGTACTTTTGGATCAGTTTATTTAGCTGTCAATTTAGATACTGGAGATCTCATGGCTGTCAAGGAAATACGGTTCCAGGATCCATCCTCACTTACAACGCTTTATAAGTCCGTTAAAGATGAAATGTCAGTTATGGAAATGCTTGATCATCCAAATATTGTTTCATATTATGGTATTGAAGTACATCGAGATAAAGTATATATTTTCATGGAGTATTGTCAAGGAGGTAGTCTTGCGTCTCAATTGGAACATGGAAGAATTGAGGATGAACGTGTAATTCAATATTATGTATATCAAATGTTGGAAGGGTTAGTGTATTTGCATGAAAACAATATAGTTCATAGAGACATAAAACCTGATAGTACGTTTTTTGTTTTCTCTTTTCCTTTTTTTTTTTTTTTTTCTAATTTCTAATTATTATTATTAAAATTTATATTTTTATCTTTTATCTTTTCCCATCATCAAAGATATACTTTTAGACCATTTGGGCGTGATAAAATTTGTGGATTTTGGAGCAGCAAAAATTCTTGCAAAAAATCAAAAAACCATGGGTAGGACCACATTGGCACCACCAAACTCCTCTAAATCCAATGTTCATAGCTTAACTGGTACTCCAATGTATATGGTTAGTTAAGCAAGGTTGATATACTAGTAAAATGTTCAACAAACTAATTGTTTATTTAAAAAATTTAGGCACCAGAAGTAATAACTGGAGGTGAAAAAGGCCGTAAAGGTTCTATGGATATATGGTCGTTAGGATGTTGTGTATTGGAGATGGCTACGGGGAAACGCCCTTGGTCAAATTTGGATAATGAATGGGCGGTTATGTTTCACGTAGTTACAGGACATCCATCTTTACCAGATTCTTCACAATTATCAGAGCAAGGAATTCACTTTTTAGAACAATGTTTTATTAGATCACCACAACAACGTCCTTCCGCTCAAGAATTACTAAGTCATCCATGGATTGACGCGGGTAAAGAACCAACTAGTACGACACCGTCAGGTGACTGGCCGATTAATGGTAGTATGGTGAGTACAAGTGGTACTAGCGGAACGAGTATCTCAAACTCAGCATCTGCCACGGCACTTAACAATAGTACTCATACAAATCCTTTTAGCATTATAACAACGCAAACAGTGGGCTCAACAACGCAGAATTTAGATCAAGTTAGGAATGAAGAGTCAAGACATTTGTCGCCATCATTATCAGTGGATAACCATCAACAGATATTTTTGATAAAAGGATTACCATCTAGTACTTCAGTAATATCTGTTGAAAGTGAAGGTGAAGTTGGTATTAGTCGTACTCATAACTTTGTTGAAATTGAAAATAATAATCCGGTAGCATCAGTAATGTCAAACGGTGGTGATGATTGGAGTTTAATTGGCGGAAGCTTTTAACGAATAATTAATTAATGGTTATACAATATTATTTTTTTTTTTTATTTATATATATAATTTTTTATCTTATTTATTAATCTTAGAACCAAAATATCATGATTACCGAATTTATTAATACTAGTTTGTATTATATGATGACAGCTTAATCGACAGATTTTCAGACATTTTAGGTTGTTTCTAATCATATGATATATTCAAAAGGGATAATTTAAATTAAATCATTATTATAAAATTTTACATAATTTTCTTTGAATGAAATATTTTGTTTGACAAAAACTAGTAAGCTAGTTTGAAATTTGTGCGTCATGCATAGCTAACGTTATACATAGTTTAGTAACTACTTTTTAATATATATATTACACTGCATTCGCAAAGATTATTTTTTCGAAGGAAAAAAAAAAAATACCAGTTTTTTAACTTGTATATAATTCAAAATAGTTAAATTAGTTTCTTTTCAAAGACGTAAACGTATGTCGTTAAAAAGAGAAACTCCTTCGATACTTTTATCACAAGTAGCGTTGAAACAACATATAGACGATTTTCATTTTTTTTTTTTCATTTTTTTTTTTTTTTAATAAAAATAAAAAATTAAAAATAAACTAAAATGAATATCATAACGCTTTGGTTAATTTTAACGATAATATATTCACACAGCGTAAATCTAAATATACCAGAACTTGGTAATTTAGTTTTGATTAAAGTGTTGATTGTTTTAGGTTTTGGACTGGTTCATAAACTTAAAGTGCACTTTTCAAAACATTATATAATAATAATAAGAAACCCACTGACAAACAAAAGGTTTTCGCTGTTATCTTCGGTAAGTAAAAAATAAAAAATAAAAAAAAAAATATATATTTCACATTCTCACATATTTTTCAATTTAATCTTGATAGACGTATACCACCTATGTAACATCATTATTAATTGACGAAGATGAATTAAATACATCATCACCATCGCCACCATCATCATCACCACCACCACCACCAACGCATGAACGTCAGCACCAACAAAATACTTCGATTGCTAGAATGCAAGAAGAAAATCGACAACTATTGTTAAGATTAGCTGACCTTGAAAATGAAAAGACGACGAGTAATAGTGACAACGAAGATGATGATGATAGTAAACGTTTACGTGGCTTAAGTAGGTCACAGTCACGATTGAGATCACGATCACGTAACAGTAATAAATACAAATATTCACGAAGCAATACTGGTACATTTAGTAAACATGCATCTAGTGTATTTTCGGCATCAACATCAGCAAATGGAACCTTGTTTACGGACATTACAAATTATTCATTTGATTTTGAGGAGATAAAATCAGAGATGTCAAATAATAATTGGGAGGTTATTGATGAAAGGGCTGAATCGCAAAATAAGCAACTTTATTTATCAAAAATTAAAAATTCAGTAGAAGAACTTGATACACGGGATGTATTTAATATGGAGCAAATTAATTCTGGTGCATTGGGTAAAATTTATAAATGCACACATCGAAAAACACAACAAATATTAGCGATTAAATCAATAACTCTATCCTCTTCAAAGCTTCTCAATGTAACATACTCGGAAATCATGGCTTGTCGTCGGTTACGTCACCCAAACATAATACATAACTTTAAACAATATATTTACGAAGATTACTCTTCAACAAATGATTATAATTCCGAATTACCTAATTACGTATTATGTTTATTAATGGAACATTGTGAACCGGGTTCTTTATGGGATGTGAGACATAAACGACCATCAAAAAGGTTAACTGAACAAGAAATTGCTTTTGTATGTAGAGAAGTTTTAAAAGGTTTAGAATACATTCATTCAATGGGAATAATCCATAGAGATATTAAAGCTCAAAATATTTTAGTATCAAATAATGGTACAATTAAAATTGCTGATTTTGGTTCTTCCTCTTTACATTCAAGAGCTTCATTAAAGCTTGGAACTTTATATTGGATGGCACCTGAAGTATTACATAATCAAATTTATAATAGCAAAGTTGATATATGGTCTTTAGGTATTATGGCAATAGAATTAATCGATGGTCGTCCTCCTTGGTTTCCATTAGGTCAAAGAAGGGTTATCGAATTAATAAGAACGGTAGGAACTCCTCCACTTCCATCAAATATATCTTTGGATTTTGAAAATTTTTTGAGGGATTGTCTTGAAGTAAATCCTGATGAAAGACCATCCGCTACTGATTTATTAACCCATCATTTTTTAAGAGAATTCTCTTCTAATATTGAAAATTTTCATTTGTAAATTATTAACATACATATATATATATATATATATATATATTTAAAAAAAAAAAAAATGTAATAATTTTTATAATTATAAAGGATTATTTTATTGATTATTTATTTATTCATTATGTAACTTATAAAATAATTTATTTATATGATTTCAATATTTTTATTTTCAAATAAATGAAACAAACTTATTTATTGTATTATAATTTCATAAGAATTTGATGTTTGATACGTGAGAATTATGAAATTATTATCAATATATAAGTAATAAAATTATATAATTATAATTTTCATCAATTAAATAAACTCTAATATTTTTATCTGATTAATTACTTTTTTTTTTTTTTTTTTTTTTTTTTTTTTTTAGAGAAAGAGTTTATTAATCAAAATCTTCTTTATAATAAAATTATAAAGTAACATATTAATTTAAAGTATATACTTTAATAAATCTTCTTTTATAAATTTTAAATTAAATAGTATAAGACTTTTAAATTTACAAATTAAATATATTAAAATAAATAATATAAAATAAATAATTGTATTAAAATAAATGATTAAAATTCAAATTTAAAAGTTTTACTATTTATAAAAATAATAAAATAATATTATATTATTTAATTTTTAACAATTTTCTTCTTTATAAAACTTATATTCAATTCATTTAAAATTAATTTTAAAACAATTGTAATAAAATAAAGGATTTAATTAAATATATTAAATAAAGTATAATAAAATAAAATGTGTATTCAAAAAATAATATATTTAAAATAAAATATAATAAAAGTAATTTTAATTTTATTCATTAAAATTAAAATTATTTATATAAAAATATTAATTATTTATAATAAATATTAATTATTTTATATCAAACTTAAAAATTTTAACCTCTTTAAAGCTAAGATTTCAAAAAGTAAAAATTGCAATAAAATCTATTTTTTAATAATCAATATTTTAACTTTAATCTCATTATAAATTTCCTTACAATTTTTTTATAATCTCTTAACTCTTATCTACTTTTATTAAATGAAAAGAAGTACTTGTACTAACTATAAAACCATATAATATCTTAATGAAATTTTTTGGATATTTGACTTTAAAAAATAATATTACAGTAAATAATTGATCAAATTTATATAATATAATATTTTATCATATTTTTAATGATTCTTTATTGCTATAGATAAATCATTAAGTTAGATATTTCAAATTCAACGCAAATATTTTTATAATCTAGTAAGTGAAAAATTCACTAAAATTTTTTGATAATAAAGGAATAGTATAAATATTTTTATAATTATGAATTTAAAATATTATTTAGATAAAAGTTTTAACATTAATCAGAATTATAATATTTAGTAATATCTATCATTATATCAAATTATTAGTTTTTTAAAAGATATATTTTACTTTTACTGTATTTGTATAAGCTATACAATCAAAATTACTCTAAATAGTATTATCAAAAAAATCTTTTTTATTATTTTCTATTCATATTTTATAATAAATATAAGTTTTAATAAAAGAATTATATGATCTTTATAATTTAAAAACTTTTTTTATAATGCTTAAGTTATAATATAACTTTTTAAAATAAATGTCACAAACTTATTCTACCATAATAATTCATATTCTATTCATATAATTTCAGTCTTATTATTTAGATTATAAGATATTTAATAGTTTTATTTATAATAAGTTAAAATTTATTATCAATTACTTAAATATTTTATTATAACAAGCTTTAGAGTTAATTTATTGCAAAAAGCATTTATTATCATTACATATTGAGTAAAGTTTAATACATTATATATTGTATTTTCAGATTTCTATACATTTGAATTATTATTTATTTAGGAGAAAATCACATTGGTTTCATTTAAAATAACTATATTTAAACAAGCTGAGAATTTTATATAAGAAAAATTTTTAACTTAGATTATGATGATATTCTATTTATTTATAATAAATTCATTTTATCTTGATAATTACAATTTTAGATTTAAATAATTTAAAATCATTAGTTTTACCTTCTTGTTAATTCAAGGATAATTTTAAGAAGTATCTGTTGATATGATTTTTGTGATAAATTATAATATCATAATTTTTTCTAAAAATTTATTCTAAAAATCAAATCTTAAACCTATTATAAATCATATAAAAAGAAGAAAGACAGTTAATAAATTTTTTTTATCTGTTTTGCGTAAGTATAAGCAAAAAATCAAGTAAAACTAATAATATTTAATCAAACTTACATATATTCTTGATCAAATAAATAAGATTATTCATAAAATAATAATAAAATATATTAATTTATTGCTCAGCTAGCTTGTCATCAAAATGTTATCAATCTTTTTACCTCTATAGATATTCTAAAATAAAATGAATAATTTATTTTTTTTGTTATATATTGGTATTTTGACAATTATCATATATATAATAGACATAGTAAAATTATTTACATAAATCTTATTACATGCAATAGCACAGTAAAAGTTTTACACAGTATATCAAAAAAATATAAACAATATACTGAATTTTTAATGTTTGACATAGTATCATACTTGATAAAAAAATTATATGTCAAATTTCTTAAAAAATAAGATAGGCTAAAATATTCTGAAAATGAGATATAATAATAAATATAAATTAGTAATATTACATTACTTTTTTTATATTAATTGCTAATCTCCCAATTTATATTGTAAATTTAAAATTATTTAGTTTCTTGTAAAATTTTAGCTAA